CTCCCGATCTCTCGATTAACGCGAGCCGCATGATACATCATAGTAGCTTCTAACGCCGAACTGACGATCGAGGTACACCATTATTGGGTCAAGCACGATAAGTAAGTTACGTGCTACTGAAGTTTCCTCTCGCGGACTGCGAACGGGCGTTTCTCACGACACAGCCGGCGTTTAAGAAGCCGCCGTTAGAAATGGCTCGTTTAATACCGCCGCTCTCCGGGATTAGGCAGGATAATCTGCTTAATGCTCGTTTACGAGGAGCTCTTTTAGACGCACAAAGGAATTCCTCGACGTTCCACCGTAAAAATTTCAATGCTCCGACAAGTGCGAAATAGCGGTCGCACAGTGCCTCTCTCTTTCTCTCTCTCTCTCTTTCTTCGTCGACTTCTTCGTTGGAGCATTTTCGTTCGTCTTCTACAACGTTGAAAAAGAAAAAAAATAATAATTGGCAGAACGCGATGGTCGAAAGGCAACTGCAGAAACAATGCCTTGATACCGCGCTCGTTAGATTAATTGCATTTGGAATTTTGCAATCCGCCTTTTCCGCTGCCACGCTGCGTTGCGCGCAGGTATTGTGCTCGTAAAATCCAATTCTGATTTTACAGCACCTTTTCTCTCTATCCGTACAAACGCGCACGCACGCATGCATGCACACAGCCTCATACGCTTAGACACACACACACACACACACACATGCAATGGATATACGTCTATCCGATACATCTACTTTTTACGCGCTGTGTTAATTCGCCTTGTATCGATATATAATGGTTCATATAGAGGGTATATATGGATTTTATTTTTTAATGCCCGCGTCATCCCCCGAGCCGGTGAGAAGCTATCATAAAATATCGGTTCTCCGATGAAGAAAAGCGCGCGCGATGACATCCATTACACCAGAAATATCTTGGAACGTCCTTGGGAAGATCTCTCTTTTCATTTGGAAAGATTAAAGCGGAAGCTGATAGAAAGACGCTGCGCGCTCCTAGGCTGCGCTTTGCCGGGCTAATAGCCCCCCGACCCTCGCTCCGGATCCACCGCGTTCGCCCTGACTCCGAGAGTGCGTTCTCCACGGCACATTAGCGATTCGTAACATTCGCCCTTCGCGGTCATTTATTCATCCGCTCCGGGAAACTGTTTGCTACATCAAGCGCTGTTTGCGACCAACGAAGGAATATTCGGCTATGTGTACACGTTGCAAAGCAATCTCGTGTTCTCCACCCTCCCGGACTAATTGCTCTTGACCCTTTTAGCTCGAAGCCGCGCGCCGAATACTCGTCTCTACGTCATCTCGGAATACGTGGCGAGTCCCTTTTTTTCTTTTTTTTCCTCTCTTCTCTTTGGAAAAAATCCGAGGAACGTACCAGTTCCGAGGACTTGCAGTCGCGGCGCGGGCAAAGAACGTCAGACGTTTCACGGGATAATGAAATTATTATGTTTTTGCGCGAACGTACGTCCGGCCGCGCCGTCCGTATATCTCGTATTACATATTACAAAATTTCAGCAGTCTCATTTAGGACCGAATTCCGTACGGTTTATTGATTTTCATGGCACCGGTAGAATATCGCACAGTCGCGGGCATTGAAATTGAAACTCCGGCCGTAACTGCATTATTGCGAATTGGCAATCGGATTCTCAAATTGCGGTTATAATTTTCAGATAGCCCGTATTTAATGGGCAACAGTTTACGCCGTTACGTCGGACTCAAAGAATTCGTGGGACTTAATGGAATTATTCAATCTCCGCGGAGACACGTCGCCGCTCGCTGCATTGTAGACGAGGGTTTCAATCATTGGAAATTTTCCGACGCACTTGTCAATTGGAATAGAGATGATATTAGAGACGTCGTTATATATACATCATCGCGTGAATTAAACGGAAACTCACGCTTCACAGCCCATTGTCTCGCGTGAACTTTCACAAAAGTTCAATCAATAATGAAACCCCTTGATTTGCTCCTTCGAATCCGACTAGCGCTACATGTAATAAACTAACGAAAAAAAAGGGGGGATACGAGAAAAATATTCTCAGAGATCCAATGCTTCCCTTCGAAGCTCAACGCTTAGACGTCACGGACCCACGTTTTGAAACGAAACCGATGTGAAAGAAAATGTTAGATCGGAAGCCATTTTATCACAGGCGCTTATAACCTCGGAAATACCCCACATAAAACTGCTACAAAGAGATGGATTAAACTTGTTCAGTTTAATTCGCTAAAAACCACCGAGGAAGACTTCAGCAGAGATGAAAATTAGTTTTAAAGATTACAATTACGCATAAATATAATTGTTTGTATTGCAGAATTGGATGAATCGCACGCATAATTGCATCGCAAATCCGTACTGGCCGGCGATTAGGATACAACTGCGACAAGACAATTAATTACTTTACTCATCTCGAGCAGACAAAGTTAAGGGAAGAAATAAACGCAATAAAATGTTTGGCGAGAAATGCCTTTTGTCTTCCTCCTTTCTTCGGCTGATATCTCTTATAATAGACATAATTGGAGACACTCTCTTTTTTTTGCGGAGCCTAGAATAAATGAAATTCTGGAAGCGTCACATATTGGGTTAAAGCCGCCCTGAATAAATATTACCGAGGCGGGGATTCGAAGGAGCAAATCAAGGGGTTTCGCATTTTATCTTTGCGTTTAATCGCGAAAAATGTATTGGATTTTTCCAATTTGATGAAGACCCTCTATCTGGTAATCAAATTAGTGCCTGAAAAGGTCGTTTTTATATTCAAAATTATTATAATTAAAATGTAGAATTTTGATGGAAAAGGGGGGGAAGAGCCCCGTCTTTGACGAGAGGAAGCCGTTTCTATCGCACAAAATTATGATATAATACAACGTAGTCAACAAGTATCGTCCGGACGCGCTCGATTTTATCCGTTAATATGAACTTCGCGTCACGTCCCGTCCTCGTGCCTATTCTTGCGAGGAACTATTCATTTCCACTTCACTCGTCGTATATCGAATGCTGATAGCCGGGCTGTGTATATGGGCTTAACGCCTCTTGGATTTGCACACGCCGTTATCACCCTAAGTGCCGCGTTCTCGTCTTCCTTAATCTGCCATCAAACGCCATTAACTCCCTGAAATACCAATGACATTTGCCAACTACAGATACGATCGCACGAGGGGCATCGATCCAGCGTGATTGGGTAGCGATGGAAAACGCGAATTGCCGCAATTCAATAATCAAAAGTGGCTGATATTATCTCGGCGATGATAGCCTGCCCGGCCTAGCCCGGCGGTCGTGCGCTCTTTAAAATGTATCGGAAGGTATAATCAGGGTTGGGAAAGTTGCTCTATAAAGGCATCTGGTTACAGTTGCCGTTTTTTTTTTTTAGCTAAAAATGTAACTAGTCACAGTTACAAGTTACCAATTCTAGAAAGTAACGCGTTACTTTCTCGCGATGAAAATAAAAATGTCGAATCTGGCGTTTGAATTATTAGGTGTCGATAAAAGCGTTTGTGTGCAAATGCAACACCTAATGCGATCTGTGGAGGTTTAAAAAATATATAAAGTAACTATTAATATAACTGAGTTAAGTTAGAGTTGGGGAGAAAGTGACGACGTTAAGTTAGAGTTACCGAAAAGAAGTAACGAGTTACTGCCCAACCGTGGGTCTTGTCTCTTCGAAGAGAATATTTACGGGACATCGATTTGCTTCGTGTTAAAACGCCTATCGTCCGCGACTATCGCGGGTGGCTCAACGAAAGCCACTGAGGCCGCAACGGTGATAAACATCAATAATATGTTTCACGTGCCTTCAAGTCGCCCGCTACGTAATTTATCACGTAAGTTCTAAAGCTGCGGGGAAAGCGTCATGAAAGCATTATGAAAGAAGTACGCATTAGCGGAAGGGACAAGACTTTCGTGCCAAGTTTAATGCAAAAGGCTTTAGCAAGTGGCTCTGTACCTTGGCGAGACAAGGTTTGAAAACATTGGCCGTTCGCGTGAGTCGCTAACGCGGTTTGCTTCCGCGCGGAGGAGGAACTTGGAAACTCCTGCTTTCTCTAACGGCGACGGCAGGAAACTTTTCGTCGGGATTTATTACATATTTCTGACCCAGTTCCCAATGAAAAACTGTCCCGATTCCCATAGTGATCCTCCGCAACCGCGCGCGCGCGCGCGCGCTCGTCGCGTGGAAAGTTCGATAGCGGTTTCTGTACAATGCAAGAAGAGGACAATGTGGGAGTTGGTGCAGTATTGCAAATAATAATTAGCAAAAGTGCGCGTCGTCGTCGATGCATACGCCCGCGGCGGAAAGGGCAGCGGGAGTAATTTCGCTGGGCTATTAGGCAGCGCGGAATATCAAAGTAGTCGTAAAACACTGTTGACTCGCGTATCATTAATATCGCGCGTACCTCAGGACGTAGCCAGTTAAATTAAGGCAAATGTCGCCTGAATTTATCCGCGCCGACATTTGGGTCGGGGCGATAAATATAAATTCGACTATCCGACGCGCAGACACTGCACGTCAAAACGACCCCAATTCGGCGCCGTCTCTCGTTTATCACGATCGTTACCGTCTTTGAAAACGAAACTCGGTCGTACTCGAAATCCGCGGTTATACCGGCTTTAGCAGGCGGGAGAGATGGGTGAAGACGGAAATTCGCAAACAGAGGAGGGTGTACACAGACGACAAAGTGGAATAAAACCTCGGATGAGTTGAACCAATTGCGTGTCGCCGCCTGCGCTAATCCGACTTTGAACTCATCGGGAGGTAAGCCGTACAAGAGCCAGCTGATCCTGCGCGCGTTAAAACTATTTCTTACACACGGTCCGCCTAGGTCTCCCACTTTCTAAAAAGCTCGGGGACGATGCATGCAACATCTATTTGTGAGTTTTGCTACGACGCCAACAAGATATTAACACGCTAAAGAAGTGCATGCTGAGACAGTGGTAAAGCACGCCGCGACCACACCAGGATCGAGTGTACGCGACGGTAGCGAAAGCTGAAGGAATAAGAGATCGTCGTTTATTTAATACCGAAGGGTTAGTCAAGAGGGTCACCGCGGCTCTTAGGTGCTTCAGGTTAAGTGTCTGTGTGTCCTCAAGGTCGTCACCATCCTCTCCTAAAAGCGACGACGTTATCTGAACCGATGACTGCCGGTCGGGCTTGACGCCCCGCTCATCCTGCCTGATCCCCGCGGTCTTGCTATCGTTCCTGTTGGTCAGTTTGAAGGATTTAGAGATTGGACATGCCATCTTGCCAACGAGCCGCTCTATCGTAGTCCCAGGGACGATCACCCACAAATTGTCAACGTGAGACGTGAACGCGCGGTTATTAATTAATTAATGACGAGGGACATGCCGCGCGTCCCGTTGTTATTTATCAGCGATCAGCTGGCGCTGCCTGGGACCTCCGTGTCCGTGTCCGCCCCCTCTCACCGCACTCTCCCCCGGATCTTGCGATCTTCTCGAAACTCGGTGTCCCCTTACGCGACCGTTCGCAGCCCTAATGTCATATCGATGACTCTAAGCGGTACGCGAGCACGTGAGACCGATCCGAAAATTGGCGACCGACGTCGCCCTCGTCGTGGTCTTGAGGATCGTCGCCGTGCTGGCCGTGCTGGTGCCGATGTCAACGACGACCGTCATCCTCGATCGCCAAGCGATCGTTCGCCGCGCGTTAGTGGAGGGAAGCCTCACGTCAGCGCAACGCGCCGCTGGCTCACGTTTATCCGGCGTCGTCCTTACGGCCGCCGTCGGGCCGGATGCGAGGCACGCGGTTGCATGTCAGCCTTGCGTCGCCCTTAAAAATTCGCCGCCCCCGGGCCGCATTCTAGATCATTTCCACGTCGGCGTGCCCTCGCAAAATCGCTCTCGCCGCCTGGTCCTCTCGCTTTCCTACCCCCCTGCTCGCGATCTCGCCCCCCCCTCCCACCCCCCCGGGACGCCAAGAGCGCGAGGCAACCGCGCGAGATCGACAACCGTAATTCGCGCGCGCGGATTCACTCTGTCGGGGACGCGGCGGATCGTCGACGGGGTGCACGGTTACTCGGCGAACGACAGTAACGGCCACGTACGTTGCCGTGCCAGAGCGCGTAGCGCCATACTGCTCGCGGATTGACCGAGGCGCAACGAGCAACGCTCCGAGGCGGCAGAGAGGAGAGGAGAGCGACGAGGAAGGCAGCCGAGCGAGGGTGAGTCCGACGGTGTAAGGGGTGCGCGGAGGGTGGAGGCGCCACGATGGAGGGCAGCGGAGACGCCTGCGCGTGTTTTCCAGCCTCCCTCTCAAACTACCGCGCTTTCTGTCCTCTCCGCTCGCAGGTCGCGCTGGAGAAAACCTGCCCGCGCTCGCCTGCTTGTCCGCCTCGCCGCCGCCGCCGCCGCCGCCGCTCCGCTCGTTTGCCTACCTTACCTGGCTGACCTGCCTTGCAATTCTTGCACGACCTGCTGGCTCGTCCGCACGTTTTTTCCTAAGATTTTCAAGAAATTTACCACACGCCTCGCCCGTCCGTTGTTAACTCGTCTAATTTAGCCGCGACGGCGGCATATGCAGCTGATAGATGAAAACCTTACGTGTAGAGAGGCTTGTATTCACGCTTATTCCAGCAATTTATCGAACGTCAAATACGCATTTGCGGCGAAATTAACGGAACATATATTGCACGAGCGGAATGCAAATGATAATCTTGAAAGTTATTAAAATTGCCGCGGGAAGAGGGGGGCGGCGGATAAATTCAGCGGTGGTCTAATTGCGAAAAAATAGCGAGGAGAAGACCGTATGAAGAATTATCGCCGCCGCTAGATACGTCTTTTGTTTCAATTTTATAGCATTTAACGTAAAAAATTCCCTCGTTCTCTCTACCTTGGAATCTTATAATTCTCATTCTGCCATAATCAAGATCGTGACGTCGTTATCTTGCATCTCTTGAGATGGCCTGTTAAGTAGACATTATGTATTCATGTCAGGCAACGTTTACCGCGAAAGTTCCGGCGACATTACTGTAATTATTGTACGTTCACAATAGATAATTATTGTACGTCCAGATTAAGCTACAATATCAAAATATTTACTCGCATATTCCCCGCGATCGGCAAATAAGTATTTTTTTGTTTTTTTTAAGAATTTTATTAACATTCTCCACGTCTGTAGTGATAACATTTGCATCGCTGCCGGAAGCGCGGAGCCGAAATTAATTCATCTCGATTATCGCGAAGATTTATACAGCGTCTGGATGACAGACATACGAGCTGGACGTAAGAAAGTGATACGCTACGAAATTAAACCGCCTAACATCGTCCGAGTTAATGGCACATCTTCCCTCCGGGAGCAGCGAGAGATATTTGAAGTAGATCCTGTTACCTTTATATACTTTTGTACCACTGTTCCTCCGCGCTGTTTTATATTACCGTGGACCAATTCTTCCCTGTGAAATTCTAGCGTAACCACTTAAACGCCATGTCCTACGAAATGTTTCAATGCCTCCTCAATGCGAGCTGACAACATCGATAATATATTACTATTAACATAATTGCTTAAACGCCCCGCATTATCGCGATCTGATAACACCGATAACCGATAATTGTTAACGTAATTTTATTTATTTTATCCTCTCTGAAATGTTCTCTCAATTATGTAGTTCGTGATAAAGTGCTAAAACGGGGCTGCATGAGATTATCGGCGAAACAAGCGGAGAGCGTAGAGGATGGTAGAATGGATGAGTTTGGTAACGAAATTTGTCCAGCACTTTTCTACCTCGTGTCTATACTGCGGGCGGTAGGGCAGGGTGTTCGTCTCGATGCTCAACAATTTAGAGCGATCGATGTGTACCATTATCACGAGGAACATTGCTTCGTGCCGCGGCTGAATGTCAGTGGTCTATCCAAGAGGAAGTCGGTTGGCCCGGTCATTGCTCAAGAGATTCCCAACGGAAACGCGCCGTAAATTACGATCGCTGTAGAGATCTGTGTAAATATCGGCAGAAGGCGAGAGAGCCCAGGGACGAATGTTTACGGCGCGCAACGGTGGGGTATATATTTATTTTTAAACAATATTTAATACACACACCGCATCTCGCGATATTGTTTTTTTCTCTGACACACAGGCGTCGATACGTTGCGCTGTTGAGAAAATAATCACCCGATTGCGATAAAATGAGGGCAATAAGGATATTAATATCTCTTAGGAGCGGCGCATATCGGACATTGCAGAATTAGCACGTTAAATCAACGATTCGTGCTTCGTTCAGATTTCTTGAATTATTCAGACAAGTAAAACCATACCTCTCGTCTGTCCGTCGGCTTTATTGTTTGCGCCCTTTCATCGTTTTAATGAATTAAATCGTGGCGGTAATGCTTAATGGACTGGCGTAATATTTGCGCGTTATTAGGAAAAGACGGGGTGACTTTTGGCTGCTGCATTTGCTTATTATATTCTAACTTATCATCTTTACGATCAAGTGCCGTTACAAATAAGAGCGAGACACTTTTTGTGTTTCTGCTTATTAATTTCGGGAATAAAATTGTTTTTTCAAGCTCTAAAATGTTCTTCTTTGCGACATTGCAGTTCGTCATATGCACGATACACGGCATTTATATAATACGTAATCGCAGCGACGACGCGTGTGTCTCGGGGATTATAAATTTAATTAATTAAATGAGCGCGAAAATATTATACGAGTTTGTAAACAGGTATACGCGATATTAACGCATAGACCGGCCGTACGCATAATGCATTCCATTAACTGCCGCAGACAACTGATCCGCGCGTGGTCAAAGGAACGCGCAACACTCCGCTATTCGAAATCGAATTACATGATAACCATTAGTGACTGAAACTGCATTTTTGGCAGGGCATCGAAACGCTGCAAATGCGAAAATACGATTTCGGGAATGTGTTTTCCATTTACCGAGATTACCTCCATTCGCTAGATGTGAAATTTGACTATAGTCTCATGGTTTCCCGCTTTCGTTATGATTTTTTTTGTTTTTTCTCCCTCTCTCTCTCTCTCTCTCTCTCTCTCTCTGTTTTTCTCTCTATCTAATAAATTTATTCATCAACAGACTATTTTTATTTGCTAGGTTCGCGCTTACAATATCGCACTAATCTCATGCTCCCTTCTTGCATATAATTTTAGTATAATTTACACGTAACTCGTTTGAAACTGTGAGAGGTCTTCATTTATTTAAAAATAAAACCCGCCCTATTTCGAACAGAAATCTATAACATTTAAAAGACGTGGCGACATTTGCATAATTCTACTTTATTAGTGTAAAACATAATTTATACGAATGTAAAGTATAATCTATGATTTTTTAATGCACGACAGTGTGAACTTAGAAGATCGCGAATTATTTATTTAAACGAATCTATTGAAATAGACTTTCTATTTTCACGTTTAGCTCTTTTCCTCCATTTATAATTTACCCGGTAATAAGGGCTCGATTGTTTACTTGAACCTGCGAATATATCTACGATTCGAGCGTAACTCGATTATGATTCGCCGAGTTCTCGTACTTTCTTTTGATCAGCAAGTTTTGGCTTTGCCTGATACAGCCGAGATACACTGTATAGCCGCTAAGTTAATAATACTTATCCAAACTTACTGATTACTTCGTATTTGAACCTGCGCCGTTTCTGTGACAAGATGATCCCATTTGTTTGCGTCCTTGGTGTAGTCTCTTTTTTTTCTTTTAGTTGTATGATTTATTGCCTCGACATACATGCAGCAAGTTGCAAGTAACAATGGGAATCAAACTGCTCAATTATAGTTGAGTATTTTCACACGCATACACACATTATACACATGTATATATAGTTTTTGTCAGTCCCTGGCCAAATGCCAAGGCTTACAGGATCATAATACAATTAGGTCTTTCTAACCCTGCAGCTCTTATGACCGGAATGCATACTAGGGAAGATAAATAGTGAGAACTAACGAGCAGATTTGTAAACAAATTAATTAATGTTTGCCGGAAACATTCGTTCTGTTTAAAGAAAGAGGAAGCGTATGTAAGTTAGCGGCGAAAGCTCGCAAAAGCGCAGAAATTACCCTAAGGGGGGACTCATAAAACCTGGTGATCAATAACTGTCGGGTGATCAATAACTTACACGAGCGTTGACGGTGAGATTATCAAGACGCGTCGTTACTGCGACGATAGAAGTGCGACTTTTTATTAGCAGCCCCGGATTTCATATTTGTTACATCGAGATTTTTCGGTCGGCGAAAGAAAGAGACGGAGAGATTTTTGAAAATACAGCGCCAAAAATTATGGGACAGAAATCAATTAATCTAATGCGACAACAATAACTGAATAACGCCGCGCCGGGTTATATATATAATATTACACGTTTATGCAGATTGTAGCGCACAGAAAAATGCGAGGCGTTTGTTGAAAACCTGGCCGGCGTCAATATCAATCACCAACTATAGCCGGATACAAATTGCTATGACCTTGCTGACAAGTGAGTTCGTGGAAGAAATACTCCGTGTAATAGTTCCCCGTATATTTTCTACCTTTTCAGAATTTCATGGAACAGCTTTCCGGAAAATAGCCGGGGTATTTTGTATTCTTGTCGCGCTGGGACTCCCCGCTGCATATCGAGGAAGAAGGTTTGATATGCGGTGCCCGCCCAAGATTCCGTGCAAATGCGAACGATACTTCCGCGAGAGCGTGAATCGATTGTCTCTCCCGCTTGTACGTCCGCAATTCTAGGGCGCAATTGCAATAATTACGGCAAGGCAACATTACGCGTTTTTCAAAATGAATAGATGTGCATTATAAATTCTTATTATCATCTCTTTCTATATATATTACAGACTTTTCACACGGAAGGGAAGATATCGAGGACACTCATAT